CACTTCCTACATAGTTGGGGTAACAGGTGTGTCCCACCATGCCCAGCTTGTTTGTTGAGATGGGTCTCATTAACTCTTTGTCTGGCCTGGCCTCAAACCAAATCCTCCCAATCTCTGCCTCCCAAGTAGCTGGGATTGCAGGTGTGAATCACTATACTTGTTCTTCATTCCAACATTTTTATGGTTCTATATTTATCTCCAGTATTAATTTGTTAATTATTATTATTGTTTGTAGTACTGGGAATCTAACCCAGGGCCTTATGCATGCTAAGCAAGCACTCTATCACTTAGTTACAGCTACAGCTCACTTATATCTCGTTAAAAAATGTAGTGGATGCTGGGCACTGGTGGCTCACACCTGTAATCCTAGCTACTCAGGAGGATTGTAGCCCATGCAAATAGTTTGTGAGACTTTATCTTGAAAAAATCCATCACAAAAAAGGGCTGTGCAGTGGCTCAAGGTATAGGCCCTTGAGTTCAAGCCCTAGTACTGAAAAAAAGAAAGAAAGAAAGAAAAAGTAGTGGTGCCCTTGCATTTACAATATATGTCTTTATTAATCACCATTTACCTTCCAGTAATATACTACTTCTTAAATAGCATAAACATTCTATAATAGCATATGTACAATTTTTTAAATCATTTTTATAGTTATTGTCATACATTTTACCTTTACAGTGTATATACTATAAACCTACAATGCCTGGCTATCTTTTGCTTTAGACAAGCAATTATCTTTTAAGATGATTAAAAATGAGAGAAATGTAGCTCAGTGATAGAGTGCTTGCCTAGCATGTGCAAGGTCTTGGGTTGAGCCCCAGCCCTTCAAAACAAGAGGGGAGGAAAGAAAAAGTGGAAGGTGAGAAATGTTTTTATATTTACCTTTATTCTATTTCCATTCTTCACTTAGACCCAAGCTGTCTTTGATAAATTCTCTTTGAACTTACTTGACCGTTTCATGTAGTGCTGTTCTGCTCTGCTCTGTTTTTTTATTTAGCTCGTCACTGTTTGAAAGATATTTTCACTAGATATAGAATTTGGGGCTTTTAGTTTTTTCCTTTCAGCATTTAAAAAGGATCACTGTATTATCTTCTGGTCATATAATTTCTGATGAAAAATCTGTAATTCTTTTGTCCTTTTAGGTAGTGTTTCTTCCTCTTCTAAATGCCTTTATGTTTTTCTGTCTTTGGTTTTGAACACTTTGACTATTAATATTCATGCTATTTGTTGAATGTTTGTGTACTGGTATGGAATCTTTTTTGTATTATTTTGAGTTTGATATCTTTCATTGTTTACAGACAATTATTAGCTATTATATTTACATTTTTTTCTCTGATTCTTATCCTTCTAGAATCTAAATTACTCATCTGTCAACTCTAAGAGTTACTTCTGGTTTTTGTTTGTTTCATGTTTTTTTTCTTTTTCTGGTTCAGCTTGAGTAGCCTCTGTCTTGATCCATCTTGAAGTTTCTGATTCTTTCCTCAGCTGTGTTGAGTTTACTGATGAGTCTGATAAAGGTGTTCAAATAATTTCTGGGGTGTGTGTGTATGTGCATGTGTGCACAAGTGTTTATTTCTAGCATTGCCATATGACTCATTTTTATAGTCTCCATCTCTGCTAAAATTACTCTTCTATTCATTTATGTTGTCTTTATTTTCCACAAGCCTTTCACATACTAGTTACAGTTGTCTTAAATTCTGTCTTAAGCTGGGCACTGGTGGCTCATGCCTGTAATCCTAGCTACTCAAGGGGCAGAGATCTGAAAGATAGAGGTTCAAAGCCAGCCTGAGCAAATAATTCAAGATCCTATCTTGAAAAAACCCAACACACACCACCACCACCCCCACCCACACACACACAAAGAGCTGGCCGAGTGGCTCAAGCAGTAAAGCACCTGCCTAGTGAGCATGAGGCCCTGAGTTCAAACCCTATTCCCACCTCAAAAAAATTTCTCTCTTAAATTCGCAGGTAACAATCTCTGTGTCTTGCATCTGGCTGCTGGTTAAATTTATGTGTGTTGTATTATTTATTTTTTTAGCGGAACTGTAGTTTGAACTCAGGACTTCATGCTTGCTATACAGGTGCTCTATCTCTTGAGCCACTCTGGGAGCCCTTTTTTGTGTTGGGTTTTTTCAAGATAGTGTCTTGAGCTATTTGCCGGGGCTGGCTTTGAACCATGATCCTCTTGATCTCTGCCTGCTGAGGAGCTATGATTATGGGCGTGAACCACCAGCACCCAACTTGTGCTATGGTTTTTGACTCATTTCTAGACACAGTATATAGACCAGCAGGGACTGAATACAATATTTTTTATGGCTGGGAACTGCCCTAGCCCCTTCTGTTGGGTCATTAGTCTGGGCAATGAGTTAATCTCGACAGGGGTTGAGTTAGGTTTGGGTTTTGTTGTTTCTATCACTACTTCATTATCTGTGGCTCCCACAAATTCTATGCTCTTGTGCTAGTCACATGGGCCTTTAGCAAATCAATAAAAAATTCAGTTGAACTCTTCGTACCCTCCTGCATGGAGACTTCAGTGCTTTCATCCCATTTCTTCCTTGAGGCTCCTGTCTTCTGGAATTCAGGTTAATCGACTGGTCTGCAATCTCAGTGCTCTGATAGGTTTGACAAAAAAGTTATGATTTTGTAGATTATCCAACAATTTCAAAAAAATGTTATTAGTGTGGTAATATGCCCTTCCTGGCTTTCTATAGTAAGCTATCTACTTCTCATTTCTCTTTTCAACTCTTCTGGCCATCCACTCTTGGCCTGCTGCCTGTCTGACCTTCGGTGACACCCATCCAGCTTAGCCCTCTGAATTATTTTCAGTGTGGATGTCCTCCTTCCTCCAATCATTCTTGTGGCAAAAATCTGGCAGTAAGATGGGTCAGAAGTTTCTGATCCTTCATCATCTTGGATTCAAAACAGTCCATGGAGTCCTGTTCCTACGGACATCTGAGAACAGGGAGGCGACTTCGGGAGTTGAGCTTCAAACACTGTGCTTCTGACTTGGCCTCATTCTTCTGCACTAGAAATGGGGCCAAGTATCTACTCCATCCATTAATGAGAAATAGGAATCAAACATCCTAAAATATTTCTTGGAAGATGAAAATTACAAGTGGGTAATTTTCATTACCCAGCTGGAAGAAGTGGTTATGATCAGTCTCTGGAGGCAGTCTACCTGGGTTCAAACTCCATCTCTACCACTGACTAGCTGTGGGATCTTGCATGTATTTCCTCACCTCTCTTCAGTTTCTGTATCCAAAAGGAGGACACAATAATAGCACCTCCTAGGACTGTCAAGAGGAGTGTAAGAGTTGACATATGTACAACACTTGTAATAGTGACTGGCACATAACCTCTGCAGAAGTGTTAACAGTTAGGGCTCCCTTCTGATAATTTCAGAAATTTGTGGCAGAGAGCAGTTCCTTTCCTTTCTTAGAATCATTATAATCAAACAGCTAGGGTTTAGAGAGCATATCCAAGTGCCCACATCCTGTACTAAGTATTTTAAAGAACTATCTCATAAGAAGTAGGGATTAATTATTCCTAGTTCACAGGTAAGGAAACCAAGGATCAGAGAAGTATTTGCCCAGCTGGCTAGAGGCTGCAGTCGGTTTACAACCCAAGGAGGACTGTACAATGCCTGCGTTCTTAACCACTTCCCTTGTTGCCTCCCACAAACTAGTTTCCATGCTTGTAAACTAGTGGGAAAGCTGCTTGCTGTATTTATCTTACAGGGTTGCTTTTAAGTCCGAATAATACAAGAGTCTGAGCCTTAGATATTTGTAGAGTGCTGTTGCCCTGACAGGGAAACCTGGATGTGACGGGATTTTTCACACTTCCATCCATCCTTCACACATGCCCTTCCCCCTCTTCTCTGCTTGTTGAACTCATTTCTGCAAGACTCCACTCAGAAATCAGCGCCCGGATTTTATTCTAACAAGGAGGGGATTGGGTCAGGGGGTGCACATCAGCCTTGGGCTCTGAACTGACCAAGCTGACTGCTGTGTGGGGAATGGAGTAGATGGGCCAGAGTGAACACAGGAAAACCAGATAGAAGGTACTACAGTGGGAGGCCAAGTCAGAGAGGGCAATGGAAAGGGAGAGGAATGGTGGGTTGGAAAGACACTTAGGAAAGAGAATCCGTAGGAAATGGAGGTGTATTTTAATGTGGGCGGTGAGGCAGAGGGAGGTGCCAAGGATGAATCCTAGCTAGCTAGTTAGAGGATGTTTGTTGAACGAATTACCAAGTGACCCCAACACACACACACACACACACACACACACACACACACCACACACACACACACACACACACACACACACACACACACACACACACACACACACACACACACACACACACACACACACACACACACACACACACACACACACACACACACACACACACACACACACACACACACACACACACACGATGGGTAGAGTGGCATGGGCATGGAGTCTCGGTCCCAGGAGCTGCTAAACACTTCTGACACTGGTCTGAGTCGGGAGTTGCTGCGGGGAGCAAGCAATTTCTGCCTCGCCCTCCAACCCCGGTGGACCGGACGTCCAGCACCCGGCTTAGCACCGTGGTGGTGTTGGCTCCTAGCCCGCGTCTAGGGGCGCGGCGCAGCGGCTCACCCCCTCCAGCCCTGACCCGCCCGGTCCCAAGCCCACCCCGCCCAGTGCGCTGGTAGGTTGGGCGGCGGCTATCTAGTCCCGGAGCCAGGAATCAGGAACAGCCAGGTGAGTTCCAGGGTCAGGGGTCGTCCATCGCAATGCACCTGTCTTGCTGGATAGCACTTGGTCCTCACCCCGCCTTCGCCCAGCGTGCGCCTCCAGGAGAAGTGCGCGCATAAGCGTGGCAAGTGCGGCCGAGGGTGCTGAGAGTCAGGGAGCCGGTGCGTGCGCGTAGTCGTGGCGTGGGCGCTGCCCAGGAGTCGGAGCGCATTAAGTGAGCGTGGGCAAGGAGCCGGCGCGTGGGCCCACAGCGGGTCTGTGCTGTGCGGGGGCGGCGCAGAGGCATCGGGGCGGGCACAGAGCCGCGCGCGGGCGTCGGCTGCAAGGCTGTGCGCGGAGCAGTGCGACCGGTCGGAGGAAGGAAGGATGCGTGCGGGTAACTTTTTGCCGGCCCTGCAAGTACGAGTAGTCGCGATACGGGAGGCTCCCTCCCGCCACCGGGCGAGAGCTGAGCCAGTGTGCCCGCTGCTGCCCTTCCCCCACTTCCGCCTCCCGCCTCTTCCTCGTTCCCGGCTCCCAGGGCCGTCGGTCCCCCGGGAGACCCGGAGGCGCAGCCCCACCCCGGCCGGCGCGGCTCGCTCCCACGCCCCCGCCGCCGCCTCGCCGGAGCGGACACACTGAGTCAGCGGGGGCGCCGGGCGCTGCAGGTAGGGGCTCCCGCGGCGGTGGACGCAGGTGCCACGCGAGACAGCGGAGGGGCCGGAGCACGAGTGGAACGGCCGGGGGTGGGGGGAGCGCCCTCTTCCGACCCCTCCCTTCCCCCGCCGGCGCGGCGTGTCCCTTTTTAGGGAATTCTTTCTCCCTTGCCTACTCCAGTGCGGGTGGGGCTGAGACGAGAGGGAGTTCTCCATTTCTCTGCCTTCTGCCTAGGTTCCTGCCCCTAAATCTCTTCACTCTTTTCCCAGCACCTATTGTCGCGTAAACAACTCCCTTGCTTCAGCTCGCGGTTCCGCAGCCCCCGGAGGGCAGCCCCTTCATTCTCGTGAGATCAGTGGGGTCAGGGGAAGGGAAGGGGAGAGGTGAGGGGGAGGCCTGGAGCCCATGTTCCTGTCGGTTCGCCCGGAGCTCTCCTCCCCCTCCCCGCTGCTAGTGCAGACGGCCCCAGGGCCCTAGGTATTTTTAGCGTTGTGACCTGGGCCGCAGCTCTAAACCTTTACTAGGAATCAGCGTCAGCGCCTCCCTTCTCCGCAGCCGGCCCGACTCCCCTTACTTCCTTGGCCCACTCGGTTTGGGTCCCTCTGGTGCAGCTTCAGTGTCTGTGGGAGCTGGCCAGGGTTTGGCATAATCTCAGGGCAGATGAGGCGGTGTACGGAGGGTGATGGTCTAGAAGTCCCCCTGCCCCTGGTGATAGGCTCAGAGCAGAATGCCAGGAATGAGATGGAGTGAATCCACAGGGCCTGGGCAGGCCCAGAATTCTGGTGTTCTGGAAAGCTGTCAGTAGTGGGGGGCAAGAGGCCTGGACTGAATTGGAGCCAGGACCCACCCTTCCACTTCCTACTCACTGACTAGCAGGGAGATAAGACAGATGTGTCAGAGAAGAACATATAAAGAGCTGTTGGAGTTCAGAGAAAAGATGGCTATTTCCTAAATAGCTCACCTTCACAAGTGGTGTCTTGTATTTCAGCCAGGTAGGAAGATTATGCCATTTCAGATGGGGAGACTGAGGCCAGAAAGATGATTTCTTTAGGGACAGAGCCAAGTCTGGAAGTTAGGTCTCTGATTTCAGAGCAAGGACTTGGAGGTGATGGGGATGGTGGTAAGGGGTACATGTGTAGAGAAAGAGAGAGGGCATGGGGGGATTGTTCCTTTAGCTTTCATCTGACTTTTGAAGGATGGGGAGGAACCAGAGTTGCACACTAGAGGAAAAGGAGGACCCTCCACCCCATCATCTCTATCCAGACCTCTTCCCTGACCTTCTGAGAGGAGCTGGGTCCATTAAGCGAACAAAGCACCTCTCCTGTTTGGGCTGAACCAGCCCCTCTGAACCTTTCAGAAGGGCACATACGGAGAGTTAGTTAGCAATTGGCTGCCTTCCCTGAACACAGAGGCTATTTCCCCTGTGCCTGGAACTGGCATCCCCTTTGTGGATCTAGGGCAGGCCCTGCCTTTGCATGAGACTTGAAGGTTGTGGGATGGACTTTGTTTCAGAAAAGAGAAAGAAGTAGCCAAGGCTAGAGGTATCCAGGCTGGAACCAGAGGCCCTACTGCAGGAATGCTGGTTGCAGTGGGGTTCCCTAAGCCCAGGCCTCCACAGTCTCCTCTCTTACCATTACCACTCTACTTATCTTGCTCCTTTACCCTTCAGGGGCTGACATGGACCCAAATCCTCGAACAACCCTGGAGCGCCAGCAGCTCCGCCTTCGGGAAAGGCAGAAATTCTTTGAGGACATTTTACAGCCAGAGACAGAGTTTGTCTTCCCCCTGTCCCACCTGCATCTTGAGTCACAAAGACGTAAGTTTCAAGTCCTATGGAGCAGAATTAGGGTAGGATAGGGAGGATGTCCTGAGGGTCTGGAATCTTGGGGGACTCTTCCCTTTTGTTTTCTTGGCCCAGTAAACTTCTGGTTTGGGATTTGACAGGTAACTGACCATTCTCTCAGCTTCAGCCTGGGTCCTTCTAACTCACCCCTCTTCGTCTGCAGCCCCCATAGGTAGTATCTCATCCATGGAAGTGAACGTGGACACACTGGAGCAAGTAGAACTTATTGACCTTGGGGATCAGGATGGAGCAGATGTGTTCTTGCCTTGTGAGGATCCTCCAGCAACCCCTCAGACGTCTGGTATGCCCCTCTGCTTTTGGGGACTTGGGCACCAGTCAACCAGAGCCAGATGTTGGAACTCTGAAATGAGGCTACAAGACTGAGCTGGGGAAGAATACAAGTACAGGCTGGAAGTGGGTGTTTTGCCAGCAAAATAGCTGTCCATTCTGATTTTAGGGAATTGTTTCTGGGGCAACAGATCCCTTGTCCAAAATTCTAGGAATGGCCATTTCCTTTGTCTTTTTAATTTCATATTTGTGAAATTACTATAATTATAAAATGTAAAATACAGTGTTTACATTAGACAACTTAAACAATCTTAGTCATTGTAATAATATTTACTGAGCAATTTACTAAGTTCCTAGTACTGTACTAAAGTACTTTCATGTATTATTGCAATTAACAATGTCCGTGGTGCAATCTCCATTTTATAAAGAAGTTAGGGGGCTAGAGATGTAGCTCAGTGGTACAGTGCTTGCTTACATTCATGAAGCCCTAACTTTGATCCCAGAACCACAAAAAAAAAAAAAAAAGAGGCTCGGAGAAGTTCACCCACATAGCCAGAAAGTAGAAAAGCTATCTAACTTGTAAGACATATGCTTAACTTGTAAGACAGATTATCTCTTATTTAAAAGTGCCGCTGATCCAGGTGTGGTGGCACACAACTGTAATTCCAGTACGCAGGAGGCTTAGGCAGGAGGCTTAGGCAGGAGGATCTCAAATTTGAGGCTAGCCTGAGCTATATAATGAGACCCTGTTTCCAAACACCAAAACAGAATAAAATAAAAACCAAAACCACTAAAACTGCTACTATTTATTGTTGGCCTACTATGCCAGACATTTGATAAGCATTCTTTGATTTTATCCTCAAAACCTTATGGAATGTAGGCATCCCTTTTTTAATAGAGGAAAAGCAAAGTCCTTGAGAGGAAAAGCTAACCAAGCTACTCAGCATAAAGTAAGCAATGTAGATAGAACTTGAACTCTTGCATTGATTGATCTGACTCCAGAGCCCAAATGAGATGTGATATAGAAGGAGCTGGAATCCAGGAGATGGAAATTCTAATCCTGGATCTTTGTTGGACTGGTTAAGTGATTTTGGACAAGTACCTGCCCCTCTGTTCACTTCAGTTTCTCAGGCCAGATAAGCTCTTTAAGAGTCCTCTGAAGTCTTATTGGTGGCCCTGACCAGCTCTTTTCTCTGGGCAGGAGTGGACGACCATCCAGAGGAGCTAAGCCTGCCAGTGCCCACAACAGACAGGACCACATCCCGGACCTCTTCCTTGTCTTCTGACTCCTCTACCAACCTCCATAGTCCAAACCCTAGTGATGGTGGAGCAGATACACCGTTGGCACAGTCCGATGAGGAGGAGGATGGGGTTGATGGAGGTGATGGGAGGGCAGAGCCTGGAACCTGCAGCTAGCAGTTGGGCCCCTCCTGCAGACTGACTGAGCTGGCTGTTCTTCACGTGAGACCACAAGCTCAGCCAGAGTACTCCGGGAGAAGGGCAGACATTTTACTTGCAGTTGGCACCGAAGGGGGGAAGGATGGTAAGCTGGTTTACCTTTTGGAGCGTAACCCTCTCCTGCTCTACTGCTAACCTTTTCCTGCGGCAGCCCTTCCCAGTGTTGGGTTTACTTCTGAAGTAGGACTTGCAAAGGAGTAGATGGTAGATGGGGTAGGGCAAGATGCCACTGCTTTTCTTAGCACTCCTCCCTCCTCCAAATTACCCTGTAGTCTTCCATTACAGTCTCTTAAACCAGTGTCTTTTAATGGACGTGAACTCCTTAGCACTCCAAGTGAGGTGGTACTCCAGCCTATCCTGCCTCTTTACATCCTTTTGGAACAGGGCATGGTGTAAATAATAAACAAATAATAATGTATCAACCATTCCACCTCATTCTTCACATTGCAGATACCAAGTCCACTATATGTCCTTAGCTCTCTATCCCCATCATTTAATCCATTTATTCAAGAGTACTTATGCAACACCTGTGCTGGGCATTTGGAATACAGTTCTGAACAGGAAAAGCTGTGTCCCTGCATTCATGGAGTTTACTGTCTGTGGGAGAGAACAGTAAATACCACAATTCACAGTGTAATAAGTAGCACAATGAGGTAGTACTATGGCACCAGACATAGGGGCATTTTATCCTAGCTTATGGTAATTTAAGAGCTGATTTTTAAGCATAAATCTGAAAGATGATTAGGGGTTGGCAGCATCCAGGCAGAAGGAGCAGCTTGTGAAAATGTTAAATGGAGAGAAACAGCCTTGAGAAACCGAAAAGCATTCAGTTTGGCTAAATTGCTGCTTATGAGGACCCAAAGGGAGAGGTAAGATTGACAAAGGTCAGGTTGTGAAATGCTTTGAAGCCTGTATTAGGTTTCAATTTGACTGCTAGTAAAAGATCATGACTTAAAAGATAAAAATATATTTCCTCATATAAAAGAAGTTCAAAATAAGAGGCTGTGTGGGAGCTCTATAGTACTGAGCACCAGGCTCCTTTGTGGCTCTTTTTGATTAGCCATACAAGGCACATGACTTACATTCTTATTGATGACTTATGTATAGACTGGCTGATAAAACCCTGGCCATCGTGACTTTGAAACTGGTAGAAAGAAGGAGAAGAAATGGGGGATGGGCAAAGAGGGCATAGCCTGCCCACCTAAGCATTTCTGGAAGTTCTAAGCAATAGCACTCACTTTTATCTCATTGACAAGAACTTGGTAACATGGGAGATGTTCCATTTGTACATGTTTTATAGACAGAGGACACAGCATTTTCCTAAGAGAAAGGAAATTCTGGCCTTTGGAAAGACAGTAACCCTTTCAAGTCACTGAAGTACCAATGCATCTGATTTCTGTACTACCTGACAGATCTGAGAAGCATCCTGGCTACTGGGGAAATGGTAATAGCCCTTTGGTAGGGTATTCTGCTGTCTTGAAAGAATTAGAGTTTTGTTACTGAGGAACAAGAGTACAGAAGTCACTGTGTGGGGTACTAGCAGTTTACAAATTAGAGACCACTTTAAAGAGTCTGAACTTAGCTGGGCGCTGGTGGCTCATGCCTGTAATCCTAGCTACTCAGGAGGCAGAGATTAGGAGGATCATGGTTTGAAGCCAGCCTGGGCAAATACTTTGGAGACCCTATCTTGAAAGAACCCATCTCAAAAAAGGGCTAGTGGAGTGGCTCAAGGTGTAGGCTCTGAGTTCAAGCCCCAGGACTACAAAATAAAAAAACAAAAAAAAGAGTTTGAACTTTATTGGGAGTAATGAAGGATTACAACTGGCTGGACTTGCTTGTACAAAGGCTAATTCTGGCTGCAATGTAGAGAATCTACAATGTAGAGGGAGGCAGGCGCAAGACAAGTAAGTAACATGTAATCTATGCAAAAGATAATGGTGACCCAGAAGTCAGTGGTTAGCTTACTTATGTTGAAGCAGGGTTTTAAAAAATAAGCAACATTATTCACTCAGTAAATATTAAATGTTGAAATTAGCATAGGTAAGACACTGATCATGGGTGGCCTTGTAGATATGAGGTAATGGCAAAAAAAAAGGAGAAAAAGATACAATCCCTGCTACCCCTGCTGTCATGGAGTTTGCAGTCTAGTTGGGGCCCAAATGTAAAACTGCAACTATGACTAGGAGGCAGTTAGCCTATTCAGAGAGGCCACTAGGGTGTTTGCCTTGAGGAAATGGCATTTTGTGCTGAGACCTAAATGACAGTAGGAATTTAGAAGAATGGCTGGAAGACCACTTGTGGACTACTGATTGAGGGTGATCAGAGTGGATTCCTGGAAATAAGAAGATGATTGTAGCCATCTAGTAAGAGAGATGAGCTAAAGTGGAGGTAGTGGGAAGTGGAGAAAAGTGGAAACAATTAAGAGATTTAGGAGGCAAGTTCCAAAAGCTTTTCAGTGGGTGAGTGAGAGAGAAAGGGGTTAAGGGTACGTGGTTGTTTCTACCTCCTGCAACAGGATGGTTTGGAGGTCCTCGACAAGATGAGTTTAGAAAAGAACAAGGTTTGGAAAGGTTATAAACTTGGCTTTATACTTGTTGATTCTGAGGTGCTTGTTCAGTAGGTACTTGGCCTATAAGTGTGGATTTGGGTGAGAGAATTGGGCTGGAGGATTAAAGGAGTTATCAGTATATAGGTGATAAGTGAAGCCATGTGTGTGAATGAACTTGCCCAAGGAATGTTGAGCAAAAGGAGAGGTTATAGGACCCAGCCTTAGGGAACATCAGCTCATTTCTCTCTCTCTCTCTCTAAAAAAAAAAATATCATTACTGTTCTTCCCTTCATTTATCAAAACACTACCCATGAGATCAGTGACCTTCAGCCATCCAGGCTGAGTGACAGGGCTTCAGTCCTTGTAGATCTACTCTCTGCAGGAAGTCATTGTGACTGTTCCTAAGCACTCTTCCTAAAGACAGAAACATGAGAAATTCAGGGAAGTCGGAGGGTTTTTCATCTTTCCTTGTCTCTAGGAAACTAACTTGTGAAATGACTCTTTTGTTCAAAAGTCTGTGGGTCCAAGTTGAGATCATCCAACAAGTTGTACCAGGGCCTTGTCTAGGGTTTTTCTGGGTTGCTCATGACTTTGCTGTACACAAATGGCAAAGTTCCTGTCCTCTTGTGCCTTCCCCCCTTCTTTAGCATAGCAAGACTCTACCTCCTGTCTTGAGTGGCTAGGCCTTCTCTCAGGCTGTGGCTGTGGTCCGGACAATTCTGATACGCAGAACTTCTTAGCTCTTGGGATCACCCCCCTTCCCTCCAGGGTGAATGATGGGAAACTGTACTAGTTGGTTGCCATCAACATGCCAATAAAACTTAGTATCCCAAGCATACAATGCTAAGGATTGTGGGGTTTGGGACAAGGAGCCTGTCTGAGGAGAGGGATCTACAGCCTTCTTGAGAGGAAGAATTGTCTGTGAGTCTCTGGGAAACCTTCAATTTAACTGCTAATGTGTTCCAGCCCTAGACTGGAAAAGTCTAGGGTCAGGTCAGACCACAGGATCACTTCCTGGTTAAGACAATGACCTCTCCTCCTGCCAAACCACAGGGGGTTGGCTGGCCTTCAGAGTCACCATCTTCCTGCCGACTATTTTCTAAGGCCACACAGTACCCATGGAGATGGGAGGATGATTTGGAGTCAACTCCAAGTTACAGAGCCTAGTTTTTAGTCTCCAGGCCACAGTGTGGTTTCTTTCAGTTGCATAGGCTTGTCACCAGTGAACATCATGAAGAGATTCAGGAGAGGTGGGAAGACAAACTCATCCTTGTAGAACCCTATGCTGTGGAAGAAATAGGAGGGACTATAGTTCAGATTTCCTAAAAGGCTTACTCTGTAGAAATCCCCAGGAATGCACCGAACTTGACTGAACAGCATGGGAATGTGGGGACAACATAGATCTGTGCTATGATGTTTAGTCTGTTCATTCATTCAGACATTATTGAGTCCATCTACTATGTGCTAGCCTCTTGCATAGGCACCAGAAACACCAAGGTGACCAAGAGCTCTTCCAGGAACAGATACAGCTAAAAATAATGGAAAAATGATGAGGGATGCAGCAGAAAGGACTGTAGCCCACTAGAGGAGAAGGAATGTAAGTCTTCACTAGAGGTGGCTGGGTCTTGAATGATGGGATAGGCAATTTCAAAATTAAAGCATAAAAGTACAAAATAATCACAATGATGGTAGCTGCCTTTTAAAAAAATATTTTGAGGTTAGTAATATAAACTCTAGTCCTGCATTCATCATTCTTTGTGATCTTGGGAAATTACCCATTTCTTCATCTGTGTGTGATAGGGTTGCTCAAATAGATGCTATGCATTTATTACATTCCAGATCCTACATACACATAATTTCTAATCCTAACAATGACCCTGAAAATAAGTTTCTCCATTTTACAAATGAGGAAAACTGACACTAAGGTTACTCATGCTCACATGTATTAAAGGCTGGTGTGGGGATTTGAACCCACATCTATCTGACATCTAAGCACATGGCCTTCCTATTCCATGTTTAATGGGGCAGAAACACTGGATGTAGTAGAATGAAAGCATCAAGTAAAAGACATCTTTTTGACACTTCCTTTCTGATTGGAATCTATATTGGCAGACACCAAACTTTACTATTCCTAGAAATACTATTGTGGGATTTACGAGACTGTTCACAGAATCCTTCACCAATGAGTTTCCCATAGGATAGGTAGGAAAACTAAAACAGGAATTTAATACTGGAACTCTTACAACTCAATAATAAAAAGGCAAACAAGCTAGCAAAAGGGCAAGCACAAAAGATGTTAACAGACTTCTCACAAGCGAAGATATATGAATGGCTGAAAAGAACATGAACAGATGCTCAACATTAGTTACCAGAAAAATGCAAATTAAAACCACAGTGAGCTACCATTGCATACACATCCAAGTAGCTGAGGAAAAAGTCCAAAAAATTAAGAACATCAAATGTTGACCAAGATGTGGAGCAATGAGAATTCTCACATATTGTTAGTGGAATAATGAAATATTATTTTGGAAAAAGGTCTGACAATTTCTTGTAAAAGTAAACATACACTTCCTCTTTGATCCAGCAATTCTACTCCTATATATTTGCCCAACGGATATGCTATCAATGTCTACAAAGAAACCTATACTGACTCAAACAGCCTTCTTCATAATAACCAAAAACCAGATGTCCATCAACAGAAGAACAGATAAACTATGGCTTATCCATACTTTGTTAATACTGTACAGCAATAAAAACTGCCAATGCATGCAAGAACACTGATGATTCTCAAAAACACTCCTCCCCTGAAAAGAGCCTCACACAAAAAGTTACATACTGTATGATGACTTCATTTCTATTTAGTGCTAGAACAGATCATCTATTGTCTGGGGTCAGGGGATATCAGAACACTGGTTGCCTCTGAAAGATAGTATGGAGGTAGGGATTGACTGAGAAGAGGGAACAGCCAATTTTCTGAGATTTTAGGGATTTTTTGGGGGGTGGGGCGGTCGTGTATGTGTTGTCATTGTTCTGTTTGGTTACAGCGCTGATACGAACCCAGTGTCTTGCGCATGCTAGGCAAGAACTCTACCACCGAGTTACATTCCCAGCCCCAGGTTTTAGGAATAATCTATCTGGATAGGAGTTTGAGCCGCACAGGTTTTATTTGGAGAAGCATCAAAACATAACATGGATTAATGGATTTATAAACGGGAATGTGCTAAATCTTAAGTACAGTAAAATGTTTCAATTTTGCGTATGTTTGAATTTTTTCATAATAAAAGAGCCGTTTATTTGGGAGTTCGGTTGGAAAGTTCTGCCTCTACAGGAGCTGGCTAGGTTTAGGATCAAGTCAGTAGAGCCCAGCTGTGTGACCTCCCAAAAGTAACTGACCTTTTTGCTTGTTGCCTCAACTATCAAATGGCAGTGGCTGTGTCCGTATTATTAACCACTTTCTGGTGGTTGGAAACACCTCAAAGTGTGAGTGGACCACAAGCCCACTCCCCTTCGTGTCCTCTGGGCACGCTGGAGATCCAGTGGCCGAAGGGATTAGCGCGGCGCGAGGCCCGTAACTCTGGTGGTACCACGCCCTCTTCCGGGACGACACCGGAAGTCCCTTCCCATACTCTCTTCCTATTGGATGACGGCCGTTCGTGGGCGCGTGGGGCGGGAGGCGGAAGCAGCCGCAGGCATGGCGGCGGCCTTGCCGCTCGCTGTGCTGGTCCTGCTGCTTCTGGGGTCAGTCTCCTGGGGCCATGCGATGCCCCCACGCGACAGCCTGCGGGAGGAGCTCGTCATCACCCCGCTGCCTTCCGGGGACGTAGCTGCTACGTTCCAATTCCGCACGCGCTGGGATTCGGAGCTGCAACGGGAAGGAGGTGAGATCTGATCTGACGTTTCTGTGGCACCCGCTGGGGGTGGGGCGGGAGCAATCCCTCGGAACGGTGCTGATCGCTGGGTGGGGTTCTGAATCCCATCGAGGAGTGTGTGGGGAATGTCACCACTCACCTGCTCCCTGTTCTCCAGTGTCTCATTACAGGCTTTTCCCCAAAGCCCTGGGGCAACTGATATCCAAGTATTCTCTGCGGGAGCTGCACCTGTCATTCACGCAAGGCTTTTGGAGGACCCGATACTGGGGGCCACCCTTCCTGCAGGCCCCATCAGGTGCAGAGCTCTGGGCCTGGTTCCAAGACACTGTCACTGAGTGAGTGCCCACTTTGGGTCTTGTTGCAGGCCATGAGGGGAGTGTGGCAAGAGAAGCTACTGTCATCCTGCTTCTGCCCTTGGGGACAGCAGTTCCAGTAGGCAGTGATTTCATGGCTTTAGTGCTGGCTTTGGAAGTAAGAAGTGATATCACCACTGACTGGCATTCTTTAGTTTGCTGAATAAACTTCTTTCCCCAATACTTGCAGACCTGAAGAAGCACATACGTTTCCCTACAGAGATAGATAACAAATGATTGATGCTTATGTGGATATGAGAGCATAGAAAACTGGCAAAATGGGTAACTTGGCTTTACTTCATATTTTTAAAAAATAGTTATCACCCACACCAGACAAAACATACTTGTGAGCTAGAATTGGCCTTCAGGATGCTAGATCTCTGTATTAGAGGAATGCTGTGTTTGAGGGGAAGAATGGTACATCTAGTTACTACTCTTATACAACAACAACAGCCCAGTGACTGTTTTGGCTATTCTACTTCGAGTGTAACCTTTCTTTGCAGCAGTTGCGTACTTACATCTGCATGGGCCACCCAGGTAACATCAATGAGTAAAGGAGTAAAAACATTGACAGGACACAGGAATGAGAAGTATATCTCATTTTCCTTGTAATCATAAGGAAGAAGTTAATAGTGCAAACATGATAACAAAATTTAGAGCAATAATAGGGAGTGGTAGAGATGGGCAGACCTGAGAGCTTGTGTGACAATCTAAAGAGAACAGATACCCCTCAGCAACTACAGATTCTTGCCAGGTAACAATAGAAGCCTAATGTGCTCAGACTGTCACTTTTCAAAAGAAAATCAGAATTTAATGTGAAAATTGACATTTAAATATCAGCAAGTAATTTTGGTGTTTTGTACACCAAATAAAGCAAGGTTATGGTTGGGATAGAGCTTTCAAGCTTGAAGTTTGCCATCTTTATTTGAGGCTTAAGGATTGGAATGGTGGGAAAGTGCTGAACCAAGGATTACTTTTAAAAAGCCCAGGATAGAACTAAAGCAATGTTAGATGAGGAGCAAGCAGTGATACCACCCCTAATCCCATTCCCCCCAAGATTGTCAAGGAAGGCTTTCTCTTCCTTGTCTGAATGCTGATTCCCTTACTTTTTTTTGGTGAGGGATGTGCATTAAGACAGAGTCACACTTTGTAGCCCAGGCTGGCCTCAAACTTGCAATCCTTCCACAGCCTTCCAATTGCTGGAATTACAGTAAATGCAACCATGCCTGACTTTTTTTTTTTTTTTTTAGATAAAGTGTTACTATAAAGCTCAGGCTGACCTTAGTGTCACCATAAAACTCAAGCTGGCCTAGAACTTGAAGTCCTTCTGCATTAATTTCCTTCCTTACCTTTTTTTTTCTATCTCCTTTGCTGTCACTGTCTCCCCTTTGTCCTTAATTGCCTGTAATATGAAGCTGATGTTTAGAATTCTAGTGCTTATTATTATTAATGTAGAGAACAAGGCTCTTGATGTTTCTCTAAGAAAAGAACACCTAATTTATTAATTCATTTACCTTTTGTGGTGCTGGAGATTAAATCCAGGACCTCACATATGTGAGGTCAGCACCCTACCACTAAGCTACATCCCGAGGTCAGGAATACCTAATTTAATTTGATTCTTTTGTGGGGGTCCTAGAATGGTTATTTTTTCCCTTGTTCAGTATGATTTTTAGATTAGAACTAGCACTTACCTTCATGCCCAGGGTATTTGCAGGACAGAGTCTGTTGCTTTGCCCAGCTGAGCACACTCAGGGAGGATCAGTGAGCTGGTGTCAGCTTCAAAGTATGGAGCCCTTTCCATGGTATTGAGGGAAGTACACAGATGATCCAGACTAGTCCTTGAAGAGAAAAGGTGCTTAGGACAAGATGCTACTGTCACTCATCCATCTCCCAGAAAGGACCCAGTAAGAGACTTGGATGCTCAGAACCACAGTAGCTCAAGAGGCTGTGTTTCAGAAAGGCAGGAAAAGCTTCCTGGAAGAGGAGCCCACGAGTGCAGCTGAACCTTAAAGATAGGTAGAGGGGAATGAGCAGGGCATTCCCAGGCAGACGAACTACCTGGTAAAGGCCCATGAGGTTGTAGAAACATCTAGAGGAGAATGAGGAAGAGGCTGAGACCAGGAAGGGGCTGAGCAGGGGCAGTGATGCTCTAACTCTCATTATCTGGCCTGTATAATGGTTAAGAATATAGTCTCCTCCTCCCATGGGCTTGGCATCTAGTTGTGGGACATGAATTTACCTGAGGGACCAGAGGTAGCCCCAGGACAGTTAATGGGTTTGTGTCTCTATCCAGTGTGGATAAATCTTGGAAGGAACTCAGTAACGTCCTCTCAGGGATCTTCTGCGCATCACTCAACTTCATTGACTCAACCAACACAGTAATTCCTACTGCCTCCTTCAAACCCCTGGGACTGGCCAATGGTGAGATAGCTCCTGCAGCCCTTTTCTTTTTCCTGGTAACTTCTGCCCAAACCTTTGCTCCTTTTCTGCTCTGTTTCCTCTTTCTTTGTCTGGGCTAGATCCTAAACCCTGTGGTTGTACAGGTCCCAGAAGAGTGCTTCCCAAGACTACTATCTCTGCATTGCCTTTTCCCCAGGGGAGAAGGGAGTCCCACTCTCAGCTGGGACTGTTTGGGTGGTGGTGCTAGAGTGGTGTAGGGAGCAGGAGTGGTCATTCTCATCTCTGAAGCGTGGCTCCTGAGGGCCAGGGTCCTGAGCCCACCCTGGACAGACTTCCGTCTCTCTCAGACACTGATCACTATTTCCTGCGATACGCTGTACTGCCAAGGGAGGTTGTCTGCACCGAGAACCTCACCCCATGGAAGAAGCTCTTGCCCTGTAGTTCCAAGGTGAGGCTGGAGTGGTCTCAGTATGGGTGGGAGCCCCAAAGAGTAGATTGGGTTAGCAGATGCCCCTTTGTAGACTGGCAGCTTAGAGTGTACTTAAGAGAATTTGTGTCCCATGTCAGGTGCTCCACACTGGGTGCTGACCCTTCATCTTTTCTTGCCTCCTCTAGGCAGGCCTGTCAGTGCTGCTGAAGGCAGATCGCTTGTTCCATACCAGCTACCATTCCCAGGCAGTACATATCCGTCCTATCTGCAGAGTAAGTCACAGGGAATGGGGGTAGGTGCCATCCAGGGCTCTGAGAGAAGATGTAGGAAAAGATTATCTGGAGCTCAGTCTGAGCGAGTAGTAAGTGGCAGAAATGATGGTGATTATGTGGGGGATTGGCTGTGCATCAAGGAAACTGAGTGGTTGCCTGGGGACCACTCAATTAATCTGTATCATGGAGCACAGTGGTTTGGAACAGTAGCTGTGTGAGTGCAGCTGCTGGCTCAGTCACTTGCCAGCTGGCATGACCTTGAGTGAATCATTTCATTTTCCTGAGCTCTCAGTGTTGTTGTGATGGTTCATCAAACTGATGCACATAAACTGTCAGCACAGGGTCTAGCCTGGGGCAGAGTGTGCAGTAGTGACCAGAGCAAATCCATAGATGTGATGATACCGAAACAGGTGAAGGATTCTGTCCAGGTTAGAGTCCTTGAGGCCTCACTGCTGCCATCTGGCCCTTGTAGAATGCACGCTGCACCAGTATCTCCTGGGAGCTGAGGCAGACCCTTTCAGTTGTATTTGATGCCTTCATCACGGGGCAGGGGAAGAAAGGTAAGCTGCCTTGGTAACTCATCTCTGTCCACCTGCCCAATCCTGCCCTATCTGTGCAGACCAGGCCTACTCTGGCTCCTGCTCAGCCCTGCTCTCTGCTCCTCAGACTGGTCACTCTTCCGGATGTTCTCCCGAACCCTCACAGAGTCCTGCCCCCTAGCTTCAGAGAGCCGAGTCTATGTGGACATCACCAGCTACAACCAGGTACCAAGGTGTTCAGCCATATGCACACACCTCTCTTCTCCAAGGCCATCCTCCCTGTCTATTTCTCAGTCCTGCTTTTGTATTCCCAGGACAATGAGACATTGGAGGTGAACCCACCTCCCACCACTACATACCAGGATGTCATCCTGGGTACCTGGAAGACCTATGCTGTCTATGACTTGCTTGATCCAGCCATGATCAATAACTCCCGCAACCTCAACCTCCAGCTCAAGTGGAAGAAACCTCCAGAGAATGGTGAGTGCAGGGATGGGCCCCTGTGCAATAGGCTACAAGGATTTCTTCTCTTAGGGGAAGGTTCACAGTCCTGTGTCTTTCCTATAAGATCATAAAGTGTGTTTAGACCCAGATCTGTACAATCATATGTTACTGGTTCTAACCCTACTCTTTTTAGCTGTGTGACCTTGGGCAGGTTCCTAGCTCTACTGAGCCTTAGTGCTTGCAACTGCAAAAAGCAGCAGTATTAACTTAGTGTATTGAATGAGACAATTAATGTAAAATATGGAATACATTAAATGCATTAATTTAATCAACAATATGTTGAGTTCATATTATGCACCAGGCACAGAGTGGTGAATAAGACAGAGAACACTGTATCAAGAAACATAATGTATATGTAATAAGGGAGCATCAGTTATAGTTGTATTCAGTTTTGCCAAGGGAAATGGCAAAATATCCTAAGAGCACTGGTTTGGGACGGAAGAGGGCACAGTGTTGGGCACATAAGCACTTAGTAAGTAAGAGTGATCTTCTTATCATTGCTTGTGGGCTGGGAAATACAGGGATGATTCCAGGGTTCAGGTTTCCCACTTTTAAAGGTATATCTATCCCCAGCTGCTCCCTGGCTTAGGACTCTGAACACAGCCCTGGGAACTGGGGTGGGGAGTGACTCTTTCCTTTAAGAGCAACTAAATGTTGACTTCTTTCTATACAGAAGCCCTACCCGTTCCCTTCCTACATGCCCAGAGGTATGTGAGTGGCTATGGACTACAAAAGGGGGAGCTGAGTACACTGCTGTACAACACCCACCCATACCGGGCCTTTCCTGTGCTGCTACTGGATGCTGTGCCCTGGTACCTGCGGCTGTATGTGCATACCCTCACCATCACGTCCAAGGGCAAGGAGAACAAACCAAGTGAGGAGCCAACTCCCACACCAGACCTCCCAGATCACCCCAGTTCATTCTTTCTCCTGGTCCTCCAGACTGTCACTTCTTAGTAGTTCTCAAGTACCTATAAAGGCCTGCACAGGAATGGAGTTAGGAATAGTTTGAAAGTGAAACAAGGAATCACTGTGCCAGATTTGGAAGTAATTATGAAGCAGAAATAGTTAAAATGCATACTACCGATAATGATTCTTAATAGGACAGTATGAGGACAGTTTCCTTCTCTTTTCACTTACTTTCTCTTCTCCTTGGACTCTTGGGTACATTCTTGTGTTTCATGATGATCCATAGACTCTGATAGAGAAAGGGTTGGGCAAAAGAAACAGGTCATAGAAGCTAAAAGAGTGGTAGAGCTGGGGTAGCTGGTTTTTCACTTCCTTGGGAAAGTAAAGAGGTACAGTTTTGAAATTTTATTTTTATTTTCTAGGGAGGTTTTAATCTTTTCTGAGAGCATTCTATTGTGTGCCAGGCATAGCACTAAAGCACTTGTTCTTCTTTTGTCTGGGGGAAGACTGATGATGAAGAAAAAGACTTTTTAGGAAGAGGCTATATCATATCCCAGTAACCAAACTTAAAAATCTTTACCTCTATTATTTCCCATCTTCCTTCCTCCCTCCCTCCCTCCCTCCACCCTTTCCGCCCTCCTTCCCTTCCTCTCTTCCTCCTTCCCTGCTAGAGTATTTTAAAACAAATCTTAGACATTGTATCAACTTTAAATACTTCAGAATATTTTCCTAATGGTAAAAGGACAGTCAAAAAAACATAATCATAGCTGGGTGCTGGTGGCTCACACCTGTAATCCTAGCTACTTGGGAAGCCAAGATCAGGATTGTTGGAGTTTGAGGCCAGCCCAGGTAAATAGTTTGTGAGATCCCATGTCCAAAATAACCAGAGCAATGGACTGGAGGTGTGTCTAAAGTGGTAGAGTACCTGCTTAGCAAACATGAAGTCCTGAGTTCAAACTCCAGTCCTGCCAAATAAATAAATAAATGGATATATAAATAACCAGAGCAAAGTGGACTGAGGGTGATGCTCAAGCAGTAGAGCACTTGTTTTGTAAATGTGAAGCCCTGAGTTGAAAACCCAGTGTCCCCCGTCCCCCCAAAAAAGATACTACCATATAATTATCTCTCTTGTTTTCCCCCCATGGTCTTAAAAGTAAATTTTAAAAATTGGTTTATTTGAATTGAAATTTAAATAAGGTTCTCGCGTTGTGTTTGCTTGATGTTATCTCTAAGTGTTTTAATTAGTGGACTTTAATTTTTTATTTTTTAAGAGTAGTTTTAGGTTTACAGAAAAATTAAGCAGAAAGTAAGAGTTCTAATATACTTCTCTCTCCTCCACCCAGTTTTTCTTCTATTTCGTATCTTACATTTGATGTGGTACACTTAAGTAATTTCTCTCAGTCTCTCTCTCTCTTTCTACTCCCTCATTTCATCTCCTCCCCTGCTTTTTTCTTTTGTATGTTACTAGGGATTGTACCCAAGGCTCATGCTAGGCAAGTACCCTACTGCTAAGCTACATCCCCGTCCTAAGCTCTTTTTTAATCTATAACAATCCGCACACTTTTTTTTTAAGTGTTATTTATTTGCTGAAGAATTGGGTCATTGTTGTGTAGAATGTTCTGCTTCTGGATTTGCCCTTGTACCAATGTGACCCTCCGTACTGTTTCTCTGCACTGGTGGTTAGATTTAGAAACTTGGTTAGACTTGTGTCCCATATTTTTGGCAAGAATTCCCGAGTGATCTGTGACTTCCCCTTGCATCACATCAGGTACTTGGTGTTTGGTGCCCCAGTTTTAGCAATATAAAGATTGATTAAGTGGCCTGCAGCATTCGTTTTTCATTTTTTGTTTTTTGGGTTTTTTTGTGGGACTGGGGTTTGAACTCAGGACTTCATGCTTGCAAAGCGGGTGCTCTTCCACTTGAGCCACACCTGCAGTCTATTTTTCTCTGGTTATTTTGGAGATGGGGGTCTCACAAACTATTTGCCCAGGCTGTCCTCAAACTGTGATCCTCCCGATCTCAGCTTTTCAAGTAGCCAGGATTATAGGATTATAGTGCCTGGTCAGGTCTGTAACATTCTTCTCTTAACTATGTCCTAGGTTTACTGCCCTGGAAACACATTCCCTTTTCTGAGACCCTGCTTCCTTCCCTAGCTGGTCTGCCTTTTGTGGTCCAAAGTCCACCTTGAAGGTATCCAGATTATGGCCCCACGGCAAGTGTTAGGGACTGTAGGTATAAGTATTCTGATCCTGGAGCAAAGTCTGGGTGACACTTGCCTCTCTCCAGGTTACATCCACTACCAGCCTGCCCAGGACCGGCAGCAGCCCCATCTCCTAGAGATGTTAATTCAGCTGCCAGCCAACTCAGTCACCAAGGTCTCCATCCAGTTTGAGCGAGCGCTGCTAAAGTGGACTGAGTACACCCCAGACCCCAACCATGGCTTCTATGTCAGGTGAGATCCACCCCCACAGACTGACACCACCCTCCTGACCCACCCTCCTGACCCATCCTGTGCCTTTTACCCCTTGGTGGGGGAGACAGTGAGAAACATGTGCCATCTGTCTACTTCTCTGCAGCCCATCTGTCCTCAGCGCCCTTGTGCCCAGTGTGGTGGCAGCTAAACCAGTGGACTGGGAAGGGAGCCCTCTCTTTAACACCCTGTAAGTGTGACCACACCCTTCTGATGGTACATTTTCAGCTGCTTGCTGGGCATTATGCAGACGATCAGGCTTCTGCAGGGTAGGTTGATGTAGACATTACTTCTTCCACAGCATTTATAGACTTGACCCAATCCTAGTAAAAATCCTACTGGTCTGAAATTTATAAAGACTTTATAAAATGATTCTAAGGTGCTTCTAGAAGAATAAGAAGATGAGAATAGCAGTACTTATGGTTTACATTTACTTAGTGATCCTCTTAAAAATATTTCTGGAGCACTTATCAAATGCCATGTACTTCAGAGAGTACCGGGTATTCAGCTTGTCCCTGTCCTCCCTGTGCTTAGAGTCTAGAGGGCAGACTGTTCTGGAGAGGAATGGTGGAGGGTGACATATGAAGAGTAATTCACTGGGTTATTTAGGAAGACTTCTCTAAGGAGTGCCATTTATACTGAGATCATAAAGGCAGGCCCTTTCCTCCACTTCAACACAGCCCACTCTCCTTTGATTGGGTATATGTACTTATTGAAAGATGCCTTCCTTAAAAGGTTTTAAGACTAGAAGAACTCTCAAAGCCCTTACTGTGCAGCACTGATCCAGTGCCACTGCAGAGGGAGATTGGGCTGAGATGGGGAGAAGCAGTGATCCTGCCTTACCATTCTTTCCCCACCTACTTAGGTTCCCAGTCTCTGATGGCTCCAGCTACTTTGTGCGACTCTACACAGAGCCACTGCTGGTGAACCTGCCCACACCGGACTTCAGCATGCCCTATAATGTGATCTGCCTCACGTGCACTGTTGTGGCTGTGTGCTATGGCTCCTTCTACAATCTTCTCACTCGAACCTTTCATATTGAGGAGCCCAGGACGGGTGGCCTGGCCAAAATGCTGGCTAACCTCATCCGGCGATTGCGCGGTGTCCCCCCACTGTGAGACTCACCCACTTCAGCAGCTGCAGTTGCGCTTTCTGTGTATGGAAGAATGGTGGTGACCTCCAGGTCTCTTTCTGCCTCTTGCTCTCCCAAGAGTTGACTTTTGAACCAAACTGCCCCATGACCAGGCCAGGTCCTAGAGTTGCACTTTCCAGTACAGTAGTTAAATGTGAGCATTTAAATTTAAATTAACTTAAAAAATTCATTTCCTCTGCTGTAGTAGCCACACTTAAAGTGCTCAATAGCCTACTGTATTGAATGGCCCAGAATGACATCTCCATCATTGCAGAAAGTTCTACTGGACAGCACTGACCTAGGTAACAGGGTGTGTTAAAGAGTTTGTATCACTGTATGGTAGGTGGAATTTACGGGTGTGGAATAAAATGTGGCTACTTCCCTGGTTCTTTGCTTCCTGTCCTTGAGCCTGGGAAGAGTTAGGGACAAGAGCTTGTTTGTTGGGAGCTCCCCCTGTTTCCTCCTACCCCTGCCCGAACTTCCTTCTCCTCATCTCCTTCTCCCCCTTCTCCTCCACCCTGCTCTCACTATAATTCCCAGAACTCCCTGGGATTGGCTGGGAGAGTTTCTGTAAGCATAATTCATTACGATGAAAATGAATCCTGCCTTTGGGGGGCCCTGAGAACCAGTCCCTACTCCCAAGGAGGGAGAGGGATAGAAGGAGTGTTTGTCTTACTATAGTGAGCATCAGAATTACTGGGCCTCTACAGGGTTCTTGCAAAGATAATGTGGCCCAGTCTTTGAATGTTTAGCAGTCTTCTCAGGAGCTTGTGTTGTGGGTGGTTCTTAGAACACCCACGGGCTTCTGAGCCAGACCCTTGGATTAAATCTGTCCCTACCCACCTCCCCTTCTTGTTATATAACCCAGGATTCCTGTAAAACATGTCCTCATGCAGAGGTCCCCACTCTCGTCTTCAGTCTTTTCCTCTGGAACACTTGGCATCAACTATGTAAGTTAACTTGTGGTTCCCCTCCATCCCTACCCCACTCAGTTTTCCCATCATGGTGATTTAGTCCAGGATGTCCTGCTCATCAAGGATACACTCCTCAACTTCCTGCCTTATTTACAAAGCCCGATGAGAAGTTGCTTCCTCTAGGAAGTCTTCCTAACATGCCAGGCTGCTGTAAGTGCCCTCTCTGCTCTCACAGCCTCCTACACTCACCTTTGTATGTTCTGTATCACCTGGCCATTGCTATTTTACTTGCATTAGACTTTGTGCTTCCTGGAGGCACAAGGGTTTTCTTCCACCAGAACCTGGCCCCTCTCAGGACACACTGCTTGTGCTCTGTCAGCAATGGCAAGTGTCTGAATGGATGTTGGCTGTTCTGGCTTAGGATCTGTGATCCAAGGTAGGCATGGGGCATGGGTACTCCAACAGCACCATATGTGAGTAGTGTGACACAATAATGGTGATGGTGTCTATATGACCAGCAAAAATGAACTGTTTGGGTTGCCTCTGGGGTTTCCATGAATCTCTAGAACATATTGGTGATGTGTGTGAAGGAAGGAAGGAAAGCCAGTGGGCTAGTCAAAATGCTTTCTCTCCGAGCAGGAAAGATCGGGCTCGGAATGAAATAAGAATGCAGGTGTGTGGATATCCAAAGCAAAGTGATTCTTGGCAGCCAGAATGTAGGACATGTGCTAAGTCAGAAGAGCAAAGTCATGGCGTAGCTGGATTTTATCCCACCACCACCAAGTCAGTACTGAGAAATAACCTCCATTACCATGTCTTATGTAATCCATTGCTGACAACACCTGTGTGTCTCTTGTTTGGGCTTCTCTGAGTTCTCTCCCATCCCTGTATGCACTCTGCCTTCAAATAAATCTAGAATTCAGCCTCTTTTAATCACCTCTTCTCATCAAGTTTTCAAGGACGTCTTCCCTGGTGAGACCCCCTTTTTTTTTTTTTTTTGGCAGTACTAGTGTTAGAACTCAGGGCCTCATGCTTGCTAGGCAAGTACTCTACCACTTGAGTCACTCCCCAAGCCCACACCCTGCTAATTGCTACTCTACCCATCCACAAGGTTGGGGAAGATGAGAGGAGGAAGCTTCTGTTGCTGAGGAAAAAGAATAGGGAGTGAGTAGATGGATCTGTAACAGAACCAGGGTCTCCTTTGCTTCCCTTGACACCTGGGAACCAAGTTGTTACAAGTCCTGCCTTGTACAACTGCTATTCTATGTAGTGGACAGACCCACGAGCATTCACTGCATGCCTACCAGGATACTTAACAGGGCACCACAATGGGTGCCTGTGGGTTATAGGAATAGAGGGAGGAGAACACTGTCACTGGAAAGCCCCCTGAGGATTTAAGAATACAAGGAGTGTTGGTAACAAACCTGAGAAGTCTGTTAACATGCTGGGTATCTCTCATAGTAGGAGAGAGCTGGCAGGCCAGGGCAGCCAAAGAATGATGATACCTGCCACTTGTCGAGCACTTACTATTCCCAGGTTCTGTGCTAAGCACTTTTACATAACCTTTGTCTCACAACCACTCATATTAGAATATTATCATTCTAAGCCCTTCTAAACCCATTTTACAGATGATGAACCTAAGGGCTTAAGGACACCCAGCTTGTAAGGAATGGGAAGGGATTAGAACCCAGGTCTGTTTGATTCTGAGACCTGTGCTTATTCCATTCTCCTTCCAGGGGGAAAGAGACCCAGTGTCCTTGGTAGAAAAGGCAATGGCTAGACCACCTGGGAGGGATAGGAACGTTCTGAGCTGGGAGGCTATTCTTGTCTGAAAGAAGCTTGGACAAAGCTGCCTTGAAGGTCAAGCAAGTTTGGCCACAGCTACTCCCTGGGACACCCCCCCACACACACACACACACTAGGTGCTCAGAAAGGGCTCAGAGGGAGCAGAGGGGTGCCTTCCCAGTAATCAGTAGCCAAGATCTGGGGAGGGGCCTGGCTTCATCCCTCTCCACCTGCAGAGAGACAGGCATGGCTGAGGCACTGAGGACTGAGTTGAGAAGCAGAGCCCTTGCCTTGAGCAAGGAGTGCTGGGACAAGGAGGAAGGGCGGAGCCACCTTACTCATCAGATCAGCTCACATTTTCCAGCTTCCCTGTCTCACCTTGTGCTGTTTCCTCTAATGCCTCCATTTTTTTGTCCCAGAGCTGGTTGCCTTCCATAAAGCCTTTTCTGACCATTCCCACGTCTTTGTAGTCGTATCTTCTAACTGAGCTTGCATAGTCAAACCATGATTTGCTCATTTACCCACCCTGTGATCCATCTTCCTGTCATCTATTTTCTATCCATCCATCCATATATCTACTTATTCAACAAGCATTTAGCATCTAAACACTGTTCTAGGGACTAGGGACTCAGCAGCAAACCTGAAAGGGAATTCCCACCCTCATGGTTCAGGGGAAACAGGTGATAAATGCATAGGTGCAAAACATGTAGTGTAATTTCAGGTGGTGCTGCATTCTTTGAAAAAAAGGGCACACATGAGAGGGATGATATGGAAATGCTTCTGAGAAAGTGACAAATGAGCAGGAACCTGAATGAACTGAAGGAGAAAGTCACGTGGAATCCAAAGGAAGAATGGTGCTGTCAAAGGGGTCAGCAAAGCAGACCCGGCAGTAGAAATATGCTTAGTGTGTTTGAAATAAGAAAGTTGCTGCAGCTGGAGCTGAGGGAGGGAAGGAAGAGGGGTGGAGGCAAGCTGGAAAAACCTGAGCCAGATAGAGGAGGGCCCTGGAAGCAGGATTCTAGGTTTCTTCATGTGGTGGGAAAGTAAGGAACCACAGGATCTGATTTTACTGGTTTGTACTTTTTATTGGCCGTGCTTAGAACTAGGTTAGTAATTCTTGCTTCATGATATGCTCTCATCTGCCCATGCGTGTCCCACCATAGTTCAATGCAGTAAGCACAGATGAACCTGCTGTCCATCAGGAAAACTGGCACCCTGACAATTGTTGGAAATATAGGCCCCAAAAGTGACCACGTGGAGAGGAGTGATCTGGCCAAGAGATTCTTTATTGCCAGGTGGGAGAGGGAGAGAGCCAAGAGAGAGAAGCGGGAAGGGCAGGGGCTTAAATACCCCTCAGTGAGACTCAGCATGATCTGATTGGTTAGGATCTTATGGTTCATGCCGATTGGAGGTTGGGGCAGAAGGAGGAGTCAAGCTAGACTTGAGGCAGGACCCTGACCCTGGGAAACAGAAGCTTAAGGGTGCAGTAAAAACTGAAACCCTTCAGTGCCATTATTGCCAACATTCCTCCCTTTTTTGTTTGTTAAGGAAGGGGGGCGTTGTGTTTGCTCTGGCTTCTTTGAGCTGGCAAGGGGCGGCGTAGGGAAGGGAGGGTTAGTTGGCAAACATTGTTGGGGTGGCGAGCCTCATGATGGCATACACCCAGGCTCTGAAAATGAAGATTTCCTCTTCCCTGAAGTTGATGAAGGTCCCTTGTAGCCATAGGTTGTAAAGAGTCTTGAGCCAATCCTCCGACCTCTGCATAGTGGGTATCAGCCAACTATCCTCGCGTTTTGGAGAGGTTGGTATCCCTGGAGGTACAACTGGTTAAACTTTTGATTATCAATAGCAGACAGTAGTATGATACAAGGGAGGAAGCTGAAGAATAGGAGAGCAAGAAACATAGGCATTAGGATGGGCATTGGCCAGGAGAACCACTGTGAAATGTTGTTCCCTAGACAATTTCAAGAGTCCTTCAACTACAGAGAGAGAAATGGGTGGCCATACATTATCTAAGACCCAAATAGGAATATTAGGAGGAGCATAAAAAAGTGTCTGTTCAGGGACTACATACCTAGGGATCTAAATTCTGCAAAATCCTGTAACTGGCCAGGAAAGCTGTAAGCTGTCTTATGGTATGGGGGTTGGGAAGCGGAAGATTGGGTTGGTGCATTTATGACTCAGGGAGTGAGTCTGTCCCTTTAAGGCCACACCTAGGTAGGTGACCTGTGGGAGGCAGGGACTGTCAGGATTTAAATGTAACACTCTTGGATAAAAGAGAGCTTTAGCTCATTATTTTATATAAATTGGATACTTTTAACCTTTTAAATGTTTGTACCATATTTAGATAAATTATAACATAACACTGTTACAAGGTGGTCATTTAAGACACATAAGCAAAAACATAAATGAACTCTGATTTAGTAGTACTTAAAAGCTTGACAAGATCAGCAGAAAACACAAATAATTTCTTTGATAAAATCTTTCTCTGTAATGGTTTTTTGTAGATGTTACTCAGAGCAGAACAATATTAAGATAACCTTGTTATTTCATAGACATAGAGAATTTTATTTTAGTTTAACATGACCCTAAAAATCTTTTAGGCAACTCTTAGATTATATTCAACTTTAACTTTATCACACACCGAAGCTTTTATTATATACTTTTCAAACTTACTCAGACCTTCA